TAGCCTCCATCAGTACATCATACGCAATCTGATATATCTTGAGAGCCTCGTCATAATGATTTTTATAATTTTTTGCACCTGCCAAGTTGGATAATGTCAACTCTTTTAATCTTTTGAAGAAATTGGTGATCAAGATTTAACTATTAGTGATTAAAAGAGTTGACATTTTCCAACTTGAAAATTACTCCCATAAAAAAAAGGTGTTTCATGTTTGACAAACACACCAATCACTAAGAAGAAGAGATGACGCAACCTGTGACACTAATGCTATACAACATAGATCTGTTCAGTGAATTATGCAGCATCGCTGGCAGTACGATTACAGTTCAGTACAACGACGATCTGCAGACCTGTATTGATTCCGTGACTGCGTTTCAACCGAATGATATTGTATTCTTGATTCTAACAGCCGCAGACGCACTCGAAATTTTACCAAAAATTAACCATTTACGTCAACTAGATTCAATTTTCATACTCGGCAAAGATGACAACAACAGATTAGAACAGTATTCAAAAATTATTGACTACTTCGAACAGAAATCATTCCATGCTCTACTGATTTCTCTTGAAAGGAATATTGATCTATCTCGTAAGCAGGCAGAATCATTCAAATTTTACAATCAACATCAGAAATCTACACGCGAACTGTCCGAGGAAAAGGGTTCTTTCCTCTGGTTACAACTCTTTAAATACATAGTCTTGCAACTACCACATGACGAAGAGGCCAAACAAGAGATGGTTGAGAAACTACAAGAATCTTACCACAATAACAACAAGCAACTCAAAGCAATTCAGAAATTCAGTGAAACATACAAAGTAAGTGAACCACTTCGCTGGTACACAGGACAGCCGTTCATTTACAAGCAGATTAATCGTGCTCTGCGCACGGAAGATATCGAACTGCTCTACAAATTTCGTTATTTCATCTCTGATGTTTGCCGTAGTATTGAAGAAAAATACGCAGACTTGAAAGAATTTGTCGATACAGTCAAGGTTTACCGAGGCGTGCAAATGTCAACGGCAGAAACCGATCGGTTAAAACAAAATGTTGGTAAACTGATATCAACAAACGGCTTTCTCTCAACTAGCTTACTGGAAGATGTTGCCTCACGATTCCTAGGTGCCAATGATAGCACCGGTGATCAGCGATCTGTTCTATTCAAAATTGACTGTGATATGAATGCTATCGAGCATGCACGTCTTGCTTCCTTACGTGAGTTCAGTGAGAACTTTGAAGAAGAAGAAATCCTATTTGATTTGGATACAGTGTTCGAGATTGTATCGATTGAAACTGATGCTAAGAATCTAATCCATGTGCAAATGAAAGTCACAGATGAAGGACGCAGAAATGCCCAGGACTATATTGACAATGTGAAGAGAGATATTGCAGGTTCGAGTACCGCGCGAATAATCTTTGGGCGTCTTCTAGCAGACATGGGCCTGTATGATAAATGTGAAACGTACTTCCAACAGTTAATAAGTAAAAGAGACAGTCATTCTCAAAAGGAAGATGAAGCATTTCTTTACTACTACTTGGCAGGTGCAAAAAATTATAAAAATCATTATGACGAGGCTCTCAAGATATATCAGATTGCGTATGATCTACTGATGGAAGCTAATCCACCCCGTCTCATGCCATCGTCTTATGTTCTAAACGAAATGGGATCGGTGTGCATGAGTAAAGGTCAGCCTATACAGGCAATGAAATATCATCAACGTGCAATGAAGATTCGAGAAGAGTTATCAGATTACCGCGGTCTGGCTACATCACTCGAGAGCATTGGTATCATCCAGAGACAGCAAGGCGACTATGACTCTGCACTTGAGAGTTTCACGAAATGTTTCACAGTGCGAAAAAAGATTTTTCCGGAAGAACATCAACAGATTGCCAGTTGTCTGCTCAAAATTGCGAATGTCTACAAGGAGCAAGATAAGTTGGATTCAGCTTTGAACTTTGCGAAGCAAGCATTGAAGATCAATGAAGAATGTCTTCCGAGTGGACATCCGAATATCGGTGACTGTCTCCAGCGCATTGGACAGATTCTGTACTTTGGAGGGCGAAACGATGAAGCGCTCAAGTACTACAAGCATGCACTAACCATACGAGAGAATGTCTTCTCGACCATGCAAGGAGGAGATCATCCTAATATTGCTAAATGAGCCATCCATTAAGAACGCAGGCTGAAAATCGATATTTTTGTACAAAACTTCCTATACTTCTTACCAGGACACCCTGAATGAATATCTGCCACAGCCTCTCGCAAATCGGTATGATTTACTATACAAAGAATCAGTTTGCACTGGCACTCGAGCACTATAAAAAAGCCTTGAGGATTAGAGAAGCATTCGATCTGTACGAAACCGAAGACACAGGAACAATACTAATGCAAATTGGTTTGGTACTCTGTAAGCAAGAAAAGTATGAGGAGGCCCTGCCATACTATAAAAAATCTTTGGAAATCAAAGAACGCATACTACCATTTGGTCACTTTGAACTGATCGATTGCTTGATTAGTATGGGCAACGCTTATCGCGATCTGGAGGATTTTGAGCTAGCATTCCAGTGCTTCCAGCAGGCAAAACAGCAGGTGGAAGTCGAAAATGCTCCTGAGAAAATTAATTATATTCGTCTCTCTCGTCTCACTGATAATATAGGTATTGCAATTGGGCGACTGCATGGCGAGGATGATGACAAAGGAAGACTAAAAGGGCTCGAGTGTCGTCTGGAGGCCGTACGTCTACTCTCCAAAGTCTATCCACGTTTGAACTATGCACAGTGGATGGAAACAATCGGCGATGCCTTCTATGCTTACGATGTATGGCCGAAGGCAATCGAATGTTATCGGACAGCTCTGAAAATGAAAGAGAAATGCACTCCGTTCAACAGCAAGGAATTGGTGAAGACTTTGAGGATGCTAATCCGTCTCTATGTGGAGAAGCATGATAGCAAGGAGTATTCACAATCCAATGATTATATAGTAGCACGAATGTACTGCGAAAAACTCTGCTCCTGTTGGTCAGCCAGACAACGAATCCGGATCTTCATGTTTCAGTTTTGAATGCTATCGGCAAGATCTACGAGAAAACGTTTAGTTACTCTCTGGCCTTGCAATATTATGAAAGAGCCTTCGATATCTTATGTAGAACACCGGAATCTGATCTGGAAGAGGATTACGACGACACGTTCAATATAGAAACGGTGGAAATGAACTTCACTCGACTTATGATTCTAGAAAGTTACGGGAAAAAAAATAGTGCATGAGTTACAGGACTTCTAAATCACTACTACATTTTTGATAGTGTTGAACAATCTTGTGACTGTTTTGGCACAGAGACAAAGCTTCGAAAACCTTCGTCATTATCGTTTTCAGTACTTTTCTGTACTCTTTAGCTAACTGTTCTAGCTTGATCAGTTCCGTCGTTTTCTAGAAAATCAGCTAACAACGGTCCGCTACAACTTGGAGAAAATGAAATTTTGCAAGTGAGCTTAGAAACCATCGCTGTTGAATACAGTAGTCTTGTGGAAAATTGAATTACGTTACGTAGGCCAGTGGAGCTTCATGTAGTAGTGAGCCAATTTTTAAAGAATTATCCCTCACGCATAAAACATAGAAGTGCTTAGGTGTGTTTAATTGGGAATTTTTAAATAATAATTGTGCTACAGGAAATACCGTCAGAGCAAATGTGTAAGAACAACTTCTGTTGAAAATAGCAAATGTTCGTATTCATTTAGATCTTAGCTCTCCTTCGATAACAAGTTATTGTCTGAGAGTCGTTGTAGACTATTAAGAACACTTTCTGAGAAATCCAGAATGTTTTTTTGATATCCTGTGTGCTATGGCAAGATTTGTGTTGTAGCGATGAAAAGGTGAGTGTTTTCTTCTTTCGAAACAACATCAATCCGTAATTAGCAGCAAAAAGAAAAAGACTAGCATTCCACTTTAATTTGATACATACGTGGGAAAGCTTTCTCCACTGGAAAAAATGTGTGTTTCAGCTTTTAAAAAAATGATCAATACCCAACACTTTCCAATACCAATACTATTGGTATTAATGCATACCTATCCACACCCGGAGTTGTACCTGAACAATCCGTTCCAATTACAGCATTTATGGCATCTGGCGAAGTTGTACATTTTACATATCAGTACTATGCAGCGCCAGGACAACCGACAACAATTATCAATGTGCCAATGAGAATCGTTCAAACCGGCGGTGAATTCGCGTTTTCTCCAGGATTTTCTGGTCCTGTATTCCCTTATCTGAAAGGTTAGGGCCTGTCAAGTGATTCGCAAAATTTCTTTTTTTCTAATTTTTCGTTCAGAATTTCTGGGTTCTATGGTGGCAAATTTACTGGCGGGAGTTTGAGGAACAGATTCTGGCAGTATTTCCGTATTCCAGCTTAACAGGTGTTTAGATAGAAATTTGAGGATCTAACTCTGTTAGACTATGGTTGGTAGAACTTGCTGAGTTCCTCCTGGAGGCGGGTTTATTAGACTGAAGGCTGAGGATCAAACGCTGACGGGAATATAGAATTCCACTTTCCCTAGTTTTTAGATGGAAACTTTAAGGCTGATATGCTAGGAGAAATTCGGTATCTTTGCGCACCAGATTTTTAGACAGAAATTTGAGGATGTTTATTAGAGCAAATCTGGTATTCCAGTTTACCAGGTATTTAGATGAGAATTTGTGAAGTACTGAAGAAATTCCATAATTCAAGTTTGCCGGGTTTTTGCATGGAAATCTTAAAGATTAAATGTTACAGGAAATTTGCTACAGAGAATTTAAGTAAAAAGTTACAGCTGCCTAAATAATCAATTTCACCAAAAAATCTTGCCTTCGGAGCAATAAATAAGAGTCAGTTTTTAGGAAATAATGTCTGCAGAGATATTTCGGATTAGTCATGTCCTTATGTTTATAAATAGCTTGCAAAAAAGATTTTTGCTTCAACCCATCTGCAAAAAAAACTCTAGCCAAATCTATTTCGACTCCATATGTTGATGATCTTATAGCGGAAAATGATAATCTTAAGAAAGAACTTCAAAAAACCCACACAGAGAAGGAAGCTCGAATGCCTATTATTGTTGATTTACCACTGACTCTCGAAAAAATCAATTCTGGCGCTATCGAAGTAATACATGGTCAATCAGTATGCGTTCCAGCAGGATGTCTAACAGGTTAGTTTGCAAAGGTTATCGCGCTGAAGAAAATAAAGTTTAAAACATTTTGTCTTGACAAATCTTTTCTAACCGTGCGTGTCCATATATAAGGATGATATGTTCTTTTTCAAACAATATAAAAACTTTTTTACACTTTATTTCTTCACCATTTATGTGCAATTACATTTTAAACGATTATACATTTGTCTACTGCACTTTTGGGAGCGGAAATTTTCACCTCGGTGCAAGAAAATGAACAAGATTATTCAGTTAATATGCCACCACTCATTGTACGTATTCAAGAAATACCACATCAGGTGTGAAACCAGAATCTTGTTTACACAGCCACAGTTGATGTTTATTCGTAAGTACAAAGCTCTGAGTTGTTTTACAGCAGCATAAATAAGCTTCTAACGAATAGAAAGAGATATGACAGTACAGATATGAACTTCTTGCTTTTCCCAATATAAGCTGTAACTTTCGAATAAGATATTATGAGAGTTTAAGATAGAACCGAATGATAAATCTTACCACTTGTGAGGGATGTCATGATATCCGTAAGTCGAGTATCGAGATTTATAACATAAGTATTAGAACACTGGTCTCAATGCATCGATGGATAACCGTACCCTGAAACTTAAGGATTTGAAGTGCTTTTGGAGTAATGAGACGGATACCTCCATGGGCATCCATACGCTCAAACTTGAGGATTTGAAGTGCTTTTGATGTATCCAGTTGAATGCTCCATCTGACTTATATGGATATTGGATCATTAGGGTAATTTGCTGGTTACTCTAATCGATATCATGACCTGTAGCTAGTCATTACCCAGGGTAACAATATTATGACATCTCTGCCATTTGTGATTTGAAAACTCAAATTAGTTAACTTCGCTGTACGATCTGTTGAAATCAGAGTCGGTCAGCTTCTGTTTGATTAGTAAGATCAGTGTTCGTTGCACTATTCAAAAGAACAAAATCGCTATTTCATGACTTCCAGTGTATTTTTTATTTTAGGCATATTCAACACAATGTCGTACATTACATGTACCTTCAATAAATGGAACAGATAATCATAAATTGGAAATTACCGGAAGCGAAATAATAAAAAATGACACGGAACATACGATTCGTTTAGCTGGATTACCTAATCCAAATAATCTAGAAAAATATGGAGATATCATTGTCAAATTTATTGTTCAAACTCCATCTGCACTAGAAGAACTTTTGACTGTGGCAGACATGTTAAAGGGACAAAAAACACAAACGCTTATGGAGTGATATTTTCGAAAAATACTAATATTCTTCTATTTTATTCGAGAAGATTTTCTTTTCCGATACTTTGCTTTATTAAACCTAACTACTGTAATGTAGCTTTGGGTGCTATAGTATTTTTTACGCAATACTACGCTAATATTTAGACGTTAGAACAACAAATGTTATATAATTAAAAGAAAAGACTTGCTAAGCATCGTACTTTACTTTCTAAGGAAGAAACATTCCCAGGTGCCTCGCTTCGATTTCGTTTGTTCATACATCATTCGATAGGGGACCTCGAGTAGGTAAAAAGCCTAAAAGGATTTCAGCCGGCGGCTTTTCCTTCCGGAGTTACGGACAGTTTTCTGATTTTCCCAGCGAAAACTAGCATGAAAAGAAAACTTCATAACTTCGTCCAGGAAAATCATAGAGGTCTGAATTTCTTTTGGTAGTAGTCTCACCCTGAAAGTTTCACACATCTATCACTCTCTCTTCCTGAGTTATAGGACTTTTCTGTTTAATTGGACGTTCGCAAAAAAACTAGGGGACGAAACCTCTCAGTACTTTTTAAAAGAAACTGACAGGATTTTCCTGACTGATAGAAAAATTCTATAACTCGGGAGGAGAGAACGATCCAAGTGTGAAACTTTCAGGGTATATAGGGAACCCTTAAGACTACCACCAAAAAGAATTTCAGCTCTCTATGATTTTCCTGGACGGAGTTATGCATTTTTCTTTTATGCTGGTTTTCGCTGGGAAAATCAGAAAACTAGCCGTAACTGCCGAAGGAAAAGCCGTCCTCCGAAATCCTTTTAGCATTTTTACCTACTCGAGGTTCTCTATCGAATAATGTACGAACGAAGGAAATCGCAGCGAGGCACCTGGGAATGTTTCCTCGTAAGTAGTGAGTGATGCATCAAGGAAATACCGGCCTCAGTATTTTGTTGATATCTTTGGCAGCTTTTATCGCTCAGTCCTGAGCTTCTTTACAGAAGGTTCGTCGAAGAACTATACACAAAAAGGTATGAAAAAGGTTTTTTTAAACAGGTTTTTTTAAACAGATATATTTTCTTTCATCATTGTAATACCACATGACTGAACAACAACGTTATCTACAATTTCCAAAATTTCCTAAGAGTCCCAGAATCAATATTTCTTTAGGTATGATATTACGAAAACGAATGGAAATATAGGTAATCAACCACGCTGGATCTCGTGGCAACATCTATTTTTCAAAAAAGACTCAGAAACCTAGTGAAAATCTATATTAGGTGAAATAACTCATTTTTGCCTATTTTTGAGTAAAGTTAAAAAATTCATTACGGAAAACAACTGCAGAGTACTCTTTTAGAAGTATTTTCTGTCTTAATGAAAACCTATATATTTTTCAAAAGAACACCATTGGATAGCCCGTGAAGTTCTCTACAGACTGAGCTGGTCAAAATATCTAGACAGGTGGGACAAGTCATGAAAGGTATGCAAAAGAAGCTTTTGGGTGTTATATATGCAGCATAGTGTTTCATAATCACAAGAACTTCCTTGTTTTTGATTTTTCAGTAAAAGCTGGAACCAATCCGAATACTGTTTTGAATAACCCAAACATTTTTCTATCAGATGAGGTGCATACCGCCATTTTACGATAAAACTCGATACTAGGGTTTCTGGGAAACCTGAAGGCTAGAAAACCAAGTCTTTGGTTTTTGGTCAGAAAATTTTACGAACCATATAGCCTGATAGAACAAAGAATTCTGAGCAAACTAAGATATATCCAGGCTGTCTATAATGCTTTTAACCGCAATATTTTGCTAATTTTCACAGCCTTTGTAGCCGTTGGTAAATCGACTCCAGCTGAGCGGAAAAGCATTATAGACAGCCTGGATATATCTTAGTTTGCTC